TGTCCGCACTAGCCCAGGAAGGTGCCCGCCTCTTGCGGTCCAGGGCAAGCTCCCGGGAGCCGCCAGCCTGGTCCCGGCAAGAGGGGGTGGGCTGGGAGGCATCGGGTGGGTGGCTCTGTGCCGTGCCAGGTGCAGGGTCTGCTAGCTGGGTGCTGGCAGGCTTGCACCTGGCACGGGCACCGTAGCCAGCCCGTGCCCCTTTAAGGGGGCCGGGGCCGGGAGGGGGGCAGTAGAGTTTCCCTGGTGTTGGCCAGAGTGGCCACCAGGGAAACCTGGGGAGGGCTAGCCTCCCACTAGTTCGAATTAAGGGGCTACACAACCCTTAATTCGAACTAGCTAGTTCGAACTAGGCTTAATCCTCATAAAATGAGGTTTTCCTAGTTCGAACTAAGCGCTCCGCTAGTTCGATTTAAATTCGAACTAACGGAGCGCTAGTGTAGCGCCTATTAAATTTAGTTCGAACTAACGTCCGTTAGTTCGAACTAACTTTGTAGTGCAGATATACCCCAAGTGTGCTGTTAGTTTCCTCTGATATCCCCAGTCTCAGGACTTCTTGAGTTTAATTCCAAATTTGAGTAAAATAGGAATATAAATATTTGGGGGAGGGGTGGGAAGGCAGGCCTTAGCCCCAATACCAGCCAGTTTCACATTTGATCTCATATAAAAGGAACTACGTTTCTTGTCTAGTGTAAGAAACACAGTAACCTGCACAGCTTTACCTTGTTCCAACCCATACAATAGTGTCAGCACTCTCAGACCTGGCCAGTGTGTGGGGCAATTGGGTGTGTATGAGCCTTCCAGTTCCCCTGCAGGGAATTTCTCTCTGGAAATTAAAGGCACTATTTCTCTCTTAAAATGATTTTCCAGTGGTCTGCTCACTCAGCCATCCAGGGCCTCCTGAGAGAAAAACAGGTCCCAGTTTTCGGAGCAACATGGGATTTGTTTGTGTGTGGTACCATCATGCCTATCAGCTGCTAGTAGGTGGGGACTGAGCCTAGCCCTGTGTTTTTATGACTTTGCCTCCACCTACTCTATGACATCACAAAAGGCTCTGACAGGTTCCACAGCAGGAGAGGCTGGGGAGGATGTTCCCATGGAAAGTTATTGCTGCTCACATGTCCATCTCCTTCCTAACTTTCTGGTTGCCAAGGGAGGGAATCGCTTGATGGTTGCCTGTTCTGTTCCTTCCCTCTTGGGCACTTGGCATTGGCCACAGTCAGAAGACAGGAAACGGGGCTAGATGGACCTTTGGTCCCACTTAGTCTGGCTGTTCTTATATTCCTCTCTCTGGGTATGTCTACACTACATTCCACGAGGAGTACAGCTAGTTCGGATTAGGAAGCCTAATCCGAACTAGCTACTCCGTGCCGCGTGTAGCCGCGCGGCACGGGGTTCGAACTGCCGGCATTTAAAAATGGCGTCGACCGGCTTCATGCAAATGAAGCCCGGGAAATTCAAATCCCGGGCTTCATTTGCAATTGCAGTATGCCTACATTACCCTCCTAGTTCGAATTAGGAGGGTAGTGTAGACATACCCTCTCTTTCTCTTCCTTTCCCCAGTCAGAAGACAGGAAACGGGGCTAGATGGACCTTTGGTCCCACTTAGTCTGGCTGTTCTTATATTCCTCTCTCTCTTTCTCTTCCTTTCCCTTTGAACTCATATTACACATCCTCTTTTCCCTATTCTTCCCTTCTTTTCCCTGTACTTTTTTCTCCTCTCTCTCATCCATCCTTCCTGCCTCTCCCCCAGGTAACCGCATGTAAAGCTTCTCTGGTTTTGCCTCCCAAAGCACTACGAGCACTGACATCTACCCACCTCACCCTGCTGCACAGCAGGGAATGTAGGGTACAATATATTATGTGAAGCATTTCATATTCAAGGGTAGGAGCTCAGGGACACTTGCACAAAGCATGGAACGCTAATGCTCCATCTCAAAAGAGGGCCATGACAACTCTGCTGGGATTTCAGCAAGGTTTTCTGCCTGGTGAGTGCATCTTAGCTGATTCTTGGACCCCTAAATCATCTGTTCTGCTAAGTACACACCTGCTCCTGCAAAAGCACACCTCAGTTGGAAAACCACAGCACTCAGTAACATAAGGGTTTGGAAGGCCCAGTCTGGAGACAAATTGGGCCTGTAGAGATTCTTGTTGTGCAGTCTGTCTCCTAATGTTGGTTTTAATTAATCCAGTTCTTCCTCCATGATACCTGTTTCCTTGGCTCTCTCCGCATCCACTTTCTCTCTGAGTCACTTTCTCCCTCTAAGAAACCTTGAGCTGCCCTTCTCTTGTTTTCTTCCTGACAGAAACACAAGCGCTGAGTCTGGCCGAACTTCTCAGGCAGGTACATGATCCTAGAATGAGGGGCTGAGGCAGGACATGTACCCGGTTGGGGGAAGAGGAGGGGCAAGCTGGCCCATGCTGCGTATGTGAGGGAGTTATGTCATCTCACATCTGTGCTTTGCAGTCCGCAGAAGGGCTGGTGGGGAGGGCGCATGGCATTCTGCCCCTACTCATTGGTATGTCAGAAATGCCACTGCTGCTTTTCCATCCAATGGGGTTTCCTCCTTGCCACCCTAAGACCCATCCCTTGTCCCCTCTGTATTCCTTACATGTGAGTGAGGCTCAGAGCATGTCTACATTGCAGCCCTAAATCAACCTATGTAATTACTGGGGTGGTGCATGTCCGTACTATGCCCCTTCTGTCAGTGATGTATGCCCTCACCAGGAGTGCTTCCGCTGACCGAAGCGAGGCAGTGTGGGAGGTTATCAGTCAGTGCACTTAGCTCCATGTAGCTCCCCACCAAGAGACTAGCTCCTCCATGGGCTTCTTGCCCGGCACTGGTGAGGCACATCTAGAGTATTGCGTCCAATTTGCACCTCTCACCCCGATTTACAGAATATGGATGCAGTGGAGTGAGTCCAGCAAAGGGCAACAAAAATGACTAGGGGGCTGGAGCACCTGACTTAAGAAGAGAAGAGAAGAGAAGAGAAGAGAAGAGAAGAGAAGAGAAGAGAAGAGAAGAGAAGAGAAGAGAAGAGAAGAGAAGAGAAGAGAAGAGAAGAGAAGAGAAGAGAAGAGAAGAGAAGAGAAGAGTGAGGGGGGATTTGATAGCAGCCCTCAACTCCCTGCAGGGAGGATCCAGAGAGGATGAAGAGAGGTTGTTCTCAGTAGTGACAGATGGCAGAACAAGGAGCAATGGTCTCAAGTTGCAGTGGGGGAAGTCTAGGTTGGATATTAGGAACAACTATTTCTCTAGGAGGATGGTGAAGCACTGGAATGGGTTCCCTGGGGAGGGCGTGAAATCTCCATCCCTAGAGGTTTTTAAGTCTCAGCTTGACATAGCCCTGGCTGGGTTGATTTAGATCTCTTCCAGCCCTGGGATTCTATGGTTCTATGGGAGTGGGGAGCTAGGCGCAACTGGATTCTAGCTGCCTGGTTTTCATAGAACCATGAAATTGACAAGACAGTCAACAGCCAATGTAAGGGACAGAGTGTCTGCACAGACACTGTGTTGCCCTAACTAAACCAGGTGTGGCGGTGTGTCTGGTACCCCTGACCTCGTTTCCAGCAAGATGAGACTCCTCCGGCCATTAGAATAGAGAGGGCTTATTGCTTCTGCGAGGTAAAGCACAGCCAGGGTTCTATGTGGGCATCGAAGTGAGGGGCCAGGCAGCCTCAGACCCCTTGGGTTAGGGGTCCACAGGGCCCCGACCCCCAATACTCAGCTTAATCTCTTCTCTTCATGTTTTCCCCTGACAAACTTTCCAGCTCCCAGGCCCTGACCCCCAGCCAGGTATTCGTCTCTGCCTCCTTTCCTTTGTCTCTCCCCCTGGGAAGAGCAGTGTTATCTGCTCAGGCTGGGACTAGGTGTCTGAACCAATACACATGTGGGTGAATCAGTGGGAATCTCACAGCACAGCACAGTCAGGTGGGAACACCAGGTTACAGAGCAGACAGCACCCCCACTACATCACACCAGGGTAAGTGCTGTGCCTCTCATAGAGGAAGAGTTATGATCTTGGTGTAGTAGGGCCAAGGATGTATGTGTACAATTACATAATTAGTTCAATGTAAGCTTTTTACGTTGATCTAATTAGTGTAGATCAGGCCTTGGGGTGAAGACTCTCTAGAACACATAGGCAGATGGAATAGACTAATGCAGGGGACCCCCTTTTAAACATCCTCCTACAGAAATGGGCACTAAGAAATGCAGCAAGGTAAATTTCTAGATTAGAAGACATACACACAGGGAGAAATGTTACCATTGACTAGTGAGTGTCACAGTGATATAGGAAGCCCAGCTCTGGAATAACAGGGGGCTGCAGGGCAGGGCTGAGGGGCACTGGCAGGGCTGTGAGGGGAGCCCAGGGGTGGAGTAGCAGGGGGCTGCAGGGCAGGGCTGAGGGGCATTGCAAGAGCTGTTGGTGTTCAAATGACTGGTACTGTTACTGGTTTGAAATGAGGGCTGGCAAGAAACCCAGAAGCAGATATGTAATATTTACATCCACAATGTTTATTTTAGAAACATGTAACACAATCACAAATTAATAATAAGCATACAAAACCCATTGGAAATTCTCATAATGGTAACATATTGAGAGAGAGAGAGAAAGAGACAGCCAGCCAGCCAGAGGGAGAGTCCAAGGCATCACACTAACACCTTGATGTTCAGTGTGGAATGCTCCTAGTGCCCAGCTGGCAGAGAATTTCCTTTCCTTACATACAGATGTACAAATGGAAAGCTTTATCTTCCACAAATTATCAGAGATCAGAGTTTTGAGGAGAGTCAAATGACTGAAATCTGTGTATTTCAGCCAAATGATGAGATAGGGGAGTGTAACTGTCCACAAACTTTGGAAAATGTAAACAGAAGGGAAAGGAAGTCCAAAGGGGTGGGGGGAGAACTAGGAGTAACTTGATGAAACTGAATGAAGAAAGAAATGTTCTTGTTAAATCATAAGAAATATTTCCCAGCAACAAATTTTACTGGACTTTGCAATCATTTCCCACAAGGGAAGGGGTGGAGACTACATCACTTGAGTAATTTCAGATTAGAGCAAACTCTGGAGAATACACTGGAAAGAACCATAGGTATGGTGCTTCAAGGCATAGCCAAGATCTGCCCTCAGATGATGTTGGGAGTATTGCTGCATTTTTGTTTTAATTAGCCGTCTATGGGATGATGAAATCAGACATACTGACCTCCCTGCTGCATGTGACACAAAACCAGCCATGCAATTCTAGCTTTATTGCAAATGAATCCAAGCCATTAATTCGGATCCAGAGGATGTTTCAGTCCAAAAAATGCAGAAGTGCTTTGTGCTGCAGTTTGAACTAGAAGCTCCTACAGAGATATTTAGAATATTCTCTCTCTCTCTCTGTCTCTCTCTAATTACAGAATTTCCTGGAGCCTCCAGAATGGACATCCGAGCACCTGTAACAGATTTACCCTCTAGCGTGGACTAAACATCTTTCTGTCTGCCTATCAGGTTTTAGTAGCTTTGGTCTCCTCTGTTCCTGCATTGCTACCATTGTAGAGTCATACATGTATTGGAAATATGCCCCATATTCAGAAGGTTCATCTACGTGCTTTTGTAAAGTTATCTATAGGGACAACTGAGAAGCATATACAGCTTCGGAAAAAAATCATATTCACATCTCTTTAAATTACCATCTGTTTCTTTCAGACTTCCTTTTCTGTTTGAAAACAGGAACAGAGAGGCAAAAGCTCAAGAAAAGAAGGTGGAATGAGTCAGCTTCTGGCTAGAAATTATCATCCACCCTTCACAAGAATAGTGACTGAAAATAGTGTCAAGTATCAATGCCCTTTTGCTGTAATACTGCAATTTTCAAGTAATCCTAGTGACCTTTAATACAGCCAACAGAAAGTCCTGAAGAATGTAAGAACTTTGGTGGACACAAGAATGTATACAAATACAGTCACATTCTTATACTCTCTAGTACTCAAGTTTTTTAATTTCTGTCTGGAGGACAGAAATATCCTTTAATGGCGCTGTGCATAAACAGCTGCATTTCACGTACCAACCTGAGTGCCTTTTTTCTGTTTAGTACTACATTTCTGATTTAATTTTATTGCACCTCAAACCTACAGCATTATCTCTTAGAATAACTGTTTTAAACATCTTCTGCTTCATTATTTCACATATTTTACATATTTAAAAAAATAAATATTTACACATAAATTGACACAAATAAATAAACCAAGACCAAACTACATTTGCAGACTATCCATACAAAAAGAAAAAGGAGGGGGAAAAAAATATTTCTTGTAGATTTGTCCTCTTCTCCTGAGGCACCTACCAGACAGTAAATATGACATGATGGCTTTTTGCATTTTGGTTATTACATTAAGTTCCAGTGTAACACTGCACACACACACACACACACACACACACACAGTGGAACTGAATTAAAAGTGAGAAGGGATTGCAGAGTTTTTTGGTTGCTTTAGCTCACTGTACAAAACAGAAGGATAAGTTTAAAAAACGTAAGTAGTAACTATGCAAAAATACATTAATCCCTATGAGCAATTGAAGGTGTTCTCAAGTGCACAGCAGGTGATGATGCAGTTATTTTTACTGTAGCTTCTGCTGCCCTCCAGCGTTGAATGCAGATGAGACTTCCCCTTCCCCGCTGGAAACTATCTTAACACTTTCAGGGCTTGGCAGAAATGTGGAATGGAGTGGTGTGAGGGGAATAATAAAATAGCAGCAATTTTTAAAATGTCCTAAATTTCCTCCTGACAAATATCTCTGCCTAGTCCTTTAAAGACTCTCTGCTTATTTTATTAACAATGAAAAAAAGGTCAAGAAGGGGTGCATTAAATATTTGAGGTAACATCCTTAGACTCTATGCCTTTCAGTTCCACCATAGGGCTTTTCTCCACTGCTGCAAGGGTGCCACTTCCTTCTCCTTGTCCTTCAAAGCCCTTGGAGATGTCTTCAAAAGTCCTGCCCCTGGTCTCTGGGACTTTGAAGAAGGTGAAGACAAAGAAGATGACCAGGAAAACAATGAAGATGATGAAGACATAGGGGCCACACAATTTCTACAGTGGGGAAAGAAGGGAAAGGTTATAATATGAGACGTTCATAGGCCTAAATCAAGGTATGGTCATTATCGCCTAATCTCAAAACATGCAATCATTTCCTTTTAACCTAGCATTTTTAAAAGAACATCCAAGACCGTTTAGGGTAGGGGTATGGAACTTAAGGATCAGTGGCTAGAAGTGGCCCCTGGGTTACCTGGATCTGCCACCTGAGGCTCAGGACTCCCCCTCTGCATTGGGGAGCCTGTACTGGTACTCCAATCCCCCCGCCATTTCCCCATGGGGCTGGAGCACACAAAATCTACTAGCCTGGGATCTGCAAGGTATGTGAGGAGAATGGGGGGAAAGTGTCTTTCTCCTTCTTAGTCAGGGGCCATGCCAGAGAGGGGTTTTTTTCTTTCGTTTCTCACTTGAGTGCGGTCCTGCCCTGACAATTTTTCTGTGGCTCAGTAGCCCCCAACCCAAAAAGTTTCTCCACCCCTGTTTTAAGAGTTTCTTAAAGCTTGATTCTGAACTTTGAATGCTACCATGATAGCTAAAAATGTTGGCTCCCAGGCTGTCTACACTACATGGCCATTTTTCTGAAAAAACTCATGAAGAGTCCACACCTCAAGAACGTTTTTGTGCAAAAAAAATCAAAAGAACAGAAGGGTTTTTCCAGTGTAGGTATTCCTCATTCTACGAGGAAGAATGCCTTTTTGCGAAGGAGCTCTTTCGCAAAAAGGTGTGAGTGGATGAGGAAGAGGGGGGTTTTGTGCAAAAGGAGGAGAGAGGAAAAAGCACAGGTGCCCTGGTGGCCATTCTGTGCATGGCAAGCAGAGCTTACTTTCGAGAGAGCACCCATGCAGTTTGGATGCTCTCTTTCACAAAAGCATATTGTTGCTTTTTCAATGCACCTTTGCAGTGTAGATGCACTCATGCACAAGAAGTTTTTGTGGACCGTCTCTTCCAATAAAAGTTCTTGCGCAAGGAGCCTGCGGTCTAGACGTAGCCTCAAATTGGGAGTCTAAACTGGTTATACTAATGAAGCCCTTTGCTGATTAAATGAAAGCAAAGGATTTGGGATGTTGTTTAAACTGGGCTGCTCCCTTAACAGTAGCAGATCAACACAATGCGTTCCAGATTAGGT